TACAGGGGCGTCTTTGTCATAGACCCTATAGTACAGGGGGTCTTTATCACAGACCCTATAGTACAGGGGGATCTTTGTAATTTACCCTTATCTTTTTTAAGAGCCAACAAAGGTCCGTTTGGCACAGCTTTCCATGTGGCTTTTCAACTGTTTACAAGCCAGGCAGACCAATTTTCGGTCTATTCCCATTTGGTTCATGGAAGATCTAGCCGTCAAAGGCCGGAGCACCGAAAAGATGTGAAAAGCCCATTTTGGGCTGATTTCGAGAAGCTCCAAACAAAGCTTTTCGCGTCTTTCACGTTTTATTCTCATGCAAAAAAATATGGAAAGACATGCGAAAAAACGTGTATCTGTTAAACCAACTTCGAGCTGCTCAGATCTTCATGCAAAAGCTCAACGCATCTTTTAACTGTCAGAACTATCAAAAGATCTTTCCAAAAATACTTGCCAAACAGGCCTTATGTCTTTTACATGGAAAAAATGAGAAAAGTTGAAGACCCATGTTGCATTATGGGTTTCACAAAACCCTCCTTATGGTAAAAGATGAGGATCTAGTAAGGTATTAGTTAACCCGATTTCGTAAGACCCTTGTTGCATTTTGTTTCATAATTACATTAGTTTTATTATTACATGAATTCATTATTTAACATTTTAACTAATTAAATATTTTAAAATAATTAATTAGTTAATTGCAATCAATTAATAATATATTAGGGTTTATTTAGGTGGTGTTTGGCACATCTTTTTTGGTGCATTTTTTAGTTTGTGAAAAACTTAAAAGACCAAAAAATGGTTTTTTTTTTCTATTTGGTATCATGTAGATTGAAAGACTCAAAGATGAGCGCATGGAAAAACTGGAAAAGCCAAAAATTGAGAAATTTCAAATGAAACTTTTGGTATTTCCACACTAAAAATAGCCTTCTTAGTTGTTTTTAACAACCCGATAGACCATAATGTGAACCAAACAGTCTTTAGTCTTTAAAGACAAATCCCCACTCCCAAAAAGCTTACCACGTCTTCTTTTTTGATCTCAATAAAAGCAAAAATATTCAACTTAAAAGCCCAATAAAAGTTTATAAGATATAATTAAATAATTAAATTTTGCCTCAATAATAGAAATCCATTCTAGATATCATTATAAAAAAATTGAGGACTTTTTCTTTTTCCTTCCTTGATGTTAGAGGTTGGCTTTGTAAGTAAGAACAAAGTTGCCATTGGATGGTAGAGATGGCAATTTGACCCGTCCCCGTGGGGCCCCACTTTGCCCTACCTCGATCAGGGTGGGTTTTTTTACCATTAGTCGGGGTTTGGAAAGCCCCGAAACTCTAGGGTCGGGGATGGGGCAGGGACAGTAATTGTCTACCCCGCCCCGACTATATTATATAACATAATACATATAAATTTGTTAATATATGCTAATGTATATTATATCATATTATATTATACTATATTATATTACTTAATATAAAATAGTTCTAGGTAGGTTTCAAAAAAATAAAATAAAATAAATTTATAAGTATACAAGTAAGAATGGCTGGGGCGGGGTAGAGCAAAGTCGGAGATCCCCGTTCCCCGTGGGGATGAGGATGGGGTTAAGATTTTTAGCCCCACGCGAAGAATTTCAATTCAGGGTTGGGTACAGGCCAGACAAAACCCCGCCCCACCCCGTTGCCATTACTATTGGATAGTCAATTTGGTTTGGGTGAATTTCTTAAAGTACCCCTAAGTTATAGGAAATTGACTAACCTTATCACTATTGTTTAGAAATTACCTTAAAGCTCAATTTGGAAGGAGTACAAATACAAATATGTAGAGTGTAAAACCGTGTGTTTTGTATATATTTGCACTCTACATATTTGTATTTATACCATTTCCAAACTAAGCCTAAAGTATTCCTAAGTTTTTTGACAATTAACCCCTATTGTTAGTGTCCTATCACAATCGGTTCACACTCAACATCCACCTTCTAGACAAAAAAACAACCTTCAACCTTTACTTAGTTGAAGATCAAGAACATATAACACAATTTCTCCATCATTTCATGTGATATTGAAGAAGATGGATATGGAACTTGTAAGAGCTAAGATGGCATCCTCAAAATCTAGCTTTTGGGTGGGAGATGATTCCTCCTATTCACTTGTATCAAAGGTCTTTGCAACAACAGAAAAGTAAGATGATCCCATTTAGTTTTTGCATTGTAGATGGGTTCGGTGGGCATCTCTATCCATTGAAAAACATTGCCAACGAAGAAAGTTTGTCATGAGGAGAAGACCAATAAGGTGTTATTGTCAAATCAACACCAATAAGGTGTTATTGCAGGTTTATTCAAATGTCCAGTTTTAAAAATTTTAAAAAGAATGGTGGGTAAAATGATCTTTTTCATCCTTCCGTTAATGAATGCTAATTGTAGGAGGATTTAGTCAGTTGTCAAAAAATTAGGGAATAATTTAAGATAATTTTCAAACAATAGGGATGAATAAGTCAATTTTCTAAAATTTGGAAGATACTTTAAGAGATTTTCCCATTTGATTTTAGGAGGGATCTATATGACTAAGGATCACGGCAAAAATACATCAAAGCAGTATGTGTCTACCAAGAGACCACTAGCCATTTTATGATCAGCTGGGCCAATGCTTTAATGGCGGGAAGCATTCAGATTGCATATAATTCGTTTGTACATTTGGGCAAAAAAGATGAAGTGGGTACTTTTTTTACTCATTTTACATTTTACGATCCATCTAAAGCATTGTATTTAGTATAATACTAGATTGATAACCTATAATTAGGCTAAGTTTAGGGTGTTTATTTTTAATTGCTTATTCAAATAAACACTTATTTGGGCCAAGATCATACCAATGAGCACTTAAGTAATAAAAGTAATATCAATAATAAAAATTAAAATCCACTTAAATTAATTAAAATTTAACAAAAACATTAGAAAATATTAATTTTTATTAATAATGTTTGGTTGCACTTCAACCAACTTGACCCAATTAGAAGTGTTATAAGGCTTTCCATACTTCAATTTTGTGTAACAAAAACTGTGCAATGCACGAGTTTTGACTAGTTTTTTTTTCTTTTTTTTTTTAACTGAACCGAGTTGGTTGTTTCTTAATAATTTGAACCGAAACCGAACCAATGCAACCGGTTAACCGGTGGACCGGTTAATTGCGATTCGTTGTTTTTGTTTTTTTTTTTTTGTGTAGTAACCTTTTACTCAAAATTAAAAAAAGGAAAAAAAAAACTTCCCTCCATCAAAAACAATTTACATATTAAAATAAATTGATTTAAATTTATACACTTTTATTTTATTGAATGTTCCAATAGGTTATAGACTTATAATTTATGTAATTTGTTCAATTCTTCTAATATAAAAAGTGAAGATTATAAGTTGTATGTACAAAGGACATTCATCCATGATTCTTATTCTTGTACAACTCTCACTAGATGTTTGTCATAAAATTGAATGATCTCATTTTGTAATCATCTCATAAAACATGAATAAAAAAATAAAAAATACCTAAAATAAGCTGAAATGAAAATACTACAAACTAAACTATTAATCAACATTCATTCAATAAAACAAACTAAACTATTAATCAACATTCATTCACTCATTTAGTAACAATTCAAAACAAATACACTATAAATGAACAAGCAGAAGCTTGAAAGGCATGTGTATTTATGCAAAAAATAAAATAGATACACTATAAATAATATTTATGCAAAAAAATAAAAAGAATACCTTAAACAAGTTGAAGGCCCGAAGTCGAACTGGACAATGAACACTGAAGTGGTGGCCGATTTGCCGGTGTCGGACTGGTTGCTATCGCTTGAACTTGAAGTGAGAGGTGGCGGAGATGATAGGTGTTACTAGAGAGGGAGTAGCTGGCGCCTGGCTTTGGTGGCTTGGTGCTTGTCGACAACTGGCATTGCCGCTTGGTGGTTAGTGAGGAGTGGCAGAGGAGATGATAGGAGAGAGAGAGAAAGAGAGAGAGAGAGAGAGAGAGTTCTCAGTTCTAGGCCTTCTGACGTGGTTGTAACAGAGAAGGGAGGGGGAGAGGCCGTCAGAGGATAACTATCAACTGATGCCGATGTCGAATGACAGAAGATGACAATTGGCGCTAGAGGAAAACAAGGGGAACTAGGGAGGAAGACGAACAAGAGGAAAGCAAGGGTTTTTAGTTTTGGTATTAGCCTTTAAGTCTCGAATAAGGGGAAGGGGGAAAACTCAAAAAGTCAAATGGCGGTGGGTTTATTTTGATTTAAAAAAATAAAAAAAAAATATAATATAATATATAATACATAATATATATATATATATCCCAATCGGTTCGATTAATTACCGATTTTTTTAAAAGGTTAATCGAAACTGAACCAAAACTTACAGTTTTTTAAGAATAGCAAACTGAAACCGAACCAATTGGTTCTATTAATTAGATTTTCTGTTTGATTTCGATCGATTTTTCAGTTCGATTCAGTTTTTCGGGCTTTCTTGCTCACCCCAACCGGCTGAGTGATAACCTACCCCCTAAATCCATGACCCCCAGTTCAGATGCAAGTGGGATTCGATCTATAACCCAAAAGGGATCCAAATTCCAAGCCGTATGGAGCAGATTCAGATATAAGGAATGTAGGAAACAGCCAAAATAAATGGCATACACTTTCTTTTGTTTTTTTTCCTCCATGGGGCTAGACAAGTCGGGGGTAACCCAGATCAACCAGTCAGTTGTCACCTTGGTCAGTATATGATATTTTTAAACTTTCTATTTACACTGTACGTATTTGTATTTATTATCTTCCCGAATTTAACCTTAATCTGAAGTCTAAAGACTCTAAATAAGAACATTTTAATAAAGAAGTGAACAGATCGGGTTGGTTGGGTTAAGGTTGGAAATTGGGATTGGGGGCTTGACAACCCTGGTTGGGTTGGGAACTTGGGAAATACCTCCACCCGACCCGACTTACATCCCCAATTTGCCTTGGCAATTTTGCGTAGGAAACAAAAAGAAAAATCTCAAAAAGTTAGTTGGGGAGGGCAAACCGAAAGATTAAAGAAAGAAAAGGAAAAGCTCTCGCTGTGGAAGAACAAAAACATTAAAGAAGCTTTGATCCTAAGCGATCTCATTCGTTTACTTCTCCTTCGACTTCTTCTCCATCATCAACCTTTTCTGGTTGGAAGAGAGATGGATAAGGTGAAGAGTCTGTTGAAACCCAAGCCAAACCCACAGCAGCAATTGAGGGATTGGCAGAGACGACTCAGGCAAGAGTGCCGCAACATCGAACGCCAAATTCGAGGCTAGTTCTCTATTAAAACCAACAACCTAAATCGTTCCCATGCCTACTTTTTATTTGTTTATATGTTTATTTATTACAGAATGGATGTAATTGGAGTCTTTCCTTTCATGAGTTGAAATTCGATTAATGGGATCTTAAGACGATGTTTATTGTAGTAATTTTCACAAACATTTGTCGTGGGTTGTTTTTAATTATTGCAGATGTGCAGAGAGAGGAGAAAAGTGTACAGAAAGCGATTAGAGAAGCTGCAAAAAGAAACGACATGGTCTCAGCGAAGGTATAGGAGCCTATTTGTGAATTCTCCTTGCTGAAATTGATGTAAATTTTACTGAAATAAAATTGTGCTTATATTTATTAAATATAATTTTCAGTTTAAGTGCTTACTGGTTGATTGAAGCGAAAAGATAATTTTAAATATTACCGGTGAGAGAGAAATTATCGTATTGGAATTTTGGAGACGCAAATGATCTTAATTTGTTATCTAGCCCCTAATTTCATGAAATTTCGAGGTTTTTTCCTTCCTTGAAGTGAAACCTAAGTTCATATGATATGTGCCAGGAAAGTAAGTAAGAAAAGGGCCATTGTTGGTCCCATCTATCGAGGTATTGGGAGGGGTGGACGGAATTGAGACCCAGCATTTGGCATTTTTTTTTTGGACAAAGTGGTCAACCCAAATTCCCACGCATGCCAGCCTGAGATTTTACTATAAGATATTTAGATCAATCACTGATGTAGTGATAAGATAGTAAACTGCTAAATAATGTTTCCTAATATCCCCTTGGTGCCAATCTGATATACCGTCTGAAGTCTATTTTATTGGTATGACTACAAATGCCTGTATCAGTTATCATATCTTTTTTCAAAATGGGCATACTTGTATTCATGATTAATTACACTTCCCTTCACCATTCCAGCACTGAATGTTCACCAACCTTTAATTTTGATTAAGATCTCTAAACATATTGTAAGAACAACCAGAACCATTTTTCCCAAAGAGATCATTGTTGGTCTGGTTACTGATAGGCTGTATTTGGATTGGACCAGAAATGGAAAAGCACAGTGGAATGGTATTTTGAATCCATTACTTTCCATTTTCACTGCTCAGCTACCTAGATAGTGCTGAGGTAAAACTGGGAGTAATCATTCTGGAGCAATGATTTAGATAGTAGAGGCATAAGGCTATGTGCTAGGATCTTTCAATGTGTAAGCCATAAACTCAGTGCTTACTTAATTGCTTGGGCCTTCTTTATGTCTTTTAAGGCCTTTCGTACATTCCTTATATACATCCTTCCCTTTTTTGAATACAAGTTACCTTTTCTCAGAAAACATGTTCTTGACATAAGCGATCTTAATAATATGTAATCATTTCCTTTACACCTCTAAGTGTGAACCTCAAGGTTGATCTTTGGGGCATTTTCCTTAATGCCTGCCTTAAGGCATAAGTTTCACATGTCTTTAGATAGGACTGCAACTTGGGCAGGCTCAGGTTGAGCATTTGCTAAAATTAAATTGGCCCAGCTGAGGGCCTGGGCCCGATGCTGTGTAAATTCTTCAAGTAGGGTACCTGATTTGCACCACTACCTTAAAAACACTATTCTGGAGCCCATCACTTCATTTCCATCATGGTTTTCCACTTCTGCCTCCAAATTCAAAGTTCCAAACCCAGCCTCAAAGTCGACATTAGATACTAATTTTAGAGTTATCATTATGGATTTAATGATTTTAGGGTGGTAGGCTGACGCAGGAGACAGTTTGGGTGGGTTTTTTAGGGTGAAGGAAGACAGTTTGGGCGGTTAAATGATGAAGAATATAGATAGAGAAGCAAGTGGAAAGTTCGCTGCCCACCAAAGAATGAGCAGGAAAATAGATTTAGTAAGGAAGCACAACAGATACAAGAAGACTGAGAACTCTTACTGTCAGAGGAGACAACAAAGAGATAGGTCACTTAGAAGAATAAATAAGTTAGAGTGAAATAGAGAGTGGTGCTTGGTACAATCTTTACATATCCTATCTTTTTGCTGTCTCTTTGAGGTGGAGGGGAATTCCTAGGTTGTGATTTGATTGATGTTTGAGACTCTGGCTGTGAAATTCTAGGCATTTGACTAGAGATGCTAGAACCTCAGTTTCCAAAGTGAACATCCCATACAATAGATTCCAAGTTTCCAACATCTGCCAACTCAAAAGTATATAGCCTAATTGGAGAGGGGAGTGATTTCTATTGGGGTCTTCTATCTTGGGATGGATTTTGTATATTATGGCACTTGTTTTTGTGAAATTGGCCTCAAGGAGGTTCTTCTGCTCCTTCCACTTGACTTAGGGAAGTAAAGCTTGGATGACATCCTTTCTCTTTGATATTAATAAAAATTAAGAATATGATACATGAGATCCATAGCTGGATTATTTTTAAATGGTTACCACCTCTTCACAAGTATATTTAGATTTGACATGAGGATGAGGAACCTTAGCATTTTGTTTAGGGGCACCTTTTTATGGCTTTTCCTTTTCTAATTTTCCTCTTAACCTTTCTGGTCAAAATTTCTCTTTTTCACATGTTTCTGACATTATAAAGGTCTTTATCTTATTTTATCTTCTGATACATAATATGCTTTTAGGCACTTGCTAAGGAAATTGTGAGATCAAGAAAAGCTGTGAACCGTCTTCATGAGAATAAGGCACAACTGAATTCAATTGCAATGCATCTGGGAGAAAGTGTTGGTATGATGCTTTACAGATAGGAACTTTTAGATTTTTCTTTACATATGCCATCTCTTTCAGAAAATAAATATTATATGTGAATCAATTATTATGTGAAATTGTTATTCTATAGTTATGATATGCATCATTTTGGTTTCTACCTTTCAAGAAAAAAGAATAGAATTTTATGAAGAAAATTAAAGAGTCCACTACTTTTTGTTTTCTAGGATAAGTAAAAACTAAAAAGTAATTTTTTATATTAAATTTACTTAAAAGCTCAGAGCACTTCACATGGGCACACATATTACTAAGAAGGAATTGTTCTTGTCCCTAGACATTGAAGGTAATTCAAATAATGCAATTAGATGGTGTTAAAGTGTGGGAAGAGGTCCATTGGCACTTGGCACATCTCCAGAATGAGACTAAGGAGATTTTTTTGGCATGCTGGATTGATGGTACTGTAGAGAAGATGGGCCGAATGGCCCATAGGTTGTTTATTCTTTCTTGTTATTTATGTTTCTTTTCTGTAATGGGCCTTATTCTGGGCCCATCCTGTCTATATTAAGTTCTTTGTAAATTCTTGCCCACCTAAGGGCCTCCTTGTAATTATTCAAATATATCTTAATA